ACCATACAACCCATTTCATGGGTGGCATGTGTCCTGTGATGGAAGTTGAGGACCACGACAGTCATGACCACCGAGAAGGCAACCATCACCATAATTGATGCAAAATATGCCGCTTTTCATTGTAATACACATACAATTCATTAATATTTATTGTATTAATTAGTATATAAATTGCTTGTATTTACCGATTATTGATATGGATTCGGATGTAGCTGCAAATTGATTATATTTTGTATTAAAAATTTATTTTAAAAATAGATTTAAATTAATGTAAAATATTTATAGTTAAATAATAATACCGTAATAATTTTATCTGAAACTTTCGTATTTAGAGAGTTATAAAATTAATTAAGATTCAAGAGTTTAATTTTGTTATAAAAATTGAGATTAATTTGTTTGGCTGGGTTAACTATGTTATACTATTTCTCATACTATAATTTTGTCCCAAGTGTTCACTTATCAAAAAAGCATTTATAGTGATAATAGTATTAATGAGATAATTAAAAAGATTTGTTGCAAACTCTATAATTGATGAGTCCGATAAAAGACTTATTTTATGTTAAATTTACTTAATTTTAAGAAAATTAATATTTGATTTAATTAAATATTATATAAACATATTTAAATTTTATGTATTATTTAATTCATCAAGTTTCTCAAATCATAAAATAAACAGTTTAATAATCAAGTTAAATTTACCAGGAAGTATCTTTCCCAATTGTACTAAGAATACCTGTTAATTTCAATTAAGTTTAGTTTATTAAGTTTTTTTTGTGTGAAAGTGATTTATAAAACAAAGGAAATTACAGTCATCGACAATAGTATAGTGACTCCTAATTGAAGTTTCTCTCCAGAATCGGGCGGTAATGAAAATCCGAGTAAAGTCATGGACGACAAGATAATGCAAGGAATTATTAAATTGAATCCATAATAAAGAGTTCTTCGTTTGATATGAATGATGAATGTGATGTCCACGTACGGCTCCGGACTAGTCGTAGGAATTTGAAACAATTTGCAAACAATTTGTCAGAAATAGAGTCATCAGTACAGAAGAGGGCCATTCAATAAGTAGGTACGCAATATTTGACCCAAAAATTTGTCCCCTGCCCCACCCGTGCGTACATACTTATGGCCCCTAATATTATTATACCAGCAGTCGTAATACAACAAGGTCCTCTTGGCAGGTGCACCTATAGGTTAGCATTTCATTAACAAATGACAGCCTATTCTTAATATTAATAAATGGTTGTCCAGTCTTACCGACTAATACCCACTCGCCGTTTGGCAGGAAAGGTGTCAGATCTCCGCCCTCTTCTTTGCCCTCTTCGCCGGACAGCTGCAGATCTAATGAGAAGCCGTCGTATCTGAAGTGA